GACCTGGAGAGTATCCTTCTGGAGCGTTTTAGACAGCTTTATCTAGTAGAAAGAAGTAAGGGTTTCTCTAGGGAAAGTAAGTTTTCTGTTGATTTTTCTAAACATATCTGTAGAAAGAGAAAATGGTTCGGCATTATAAACCCCAGTTTAAATGAATGTGACAAAAGGAACATACAGCAAATCACAGGTAAAATCATGGACCTTGTCAAAGAATATATTGATCAGAAAGAGCAACAAAAAGTGGATTATAATCGAGGTTACTTTTATGAAATACTGAATGAAATTAAGGCACCTATAAACTCTCTACCCAGCACCTCAAAATACACCTTCAATGCAGAGTACGAAATAGAGCTATGATTGTACCTATGCAAAAGGGCAGCACAAAGGTTTGAAGATATGCACGCAGCCTTTAAAAAAGCAAACGATCCAGCTTCGTACCTGGAAAGCAAGAGAGAAGATTTCTTCAAGTGCTTTCAGATTTCCTGCCAAGGCGCCACCTCCATCACAACGTTGGCTGATTTCTTATGTGCCAAGCTGTGTGCAGCACTTCTCCAGGCAGTGTACGACAAGACTGCCATTGACATCGCCGGTGAGATGAGGGCCAACTATCCAGCCTTCAATGGCAACCGATCCAAACTAGAAGCCTATGTTCTGAAATCCCTGGCAGAAGAGGAAAACTTTGACAAGTACCGGCAGTACATTCACTTCCCAAAGGACTTCATAGAGGGTTTTATCAAAAAGTGCGTTGAGGATTATTGTTTCGATAAAAGGAATCCAAGACTGAAGAATGTCTTAAGTATTTCTCTTGATACTTTGCACTCTCGTGTTGTCTCAGCTATTGATGACTCTACTAGGGTGGTGAAAGACAGAAGGGGCAATGTATCCTCATGGCTGGATGAGTTCTGCACTGGACTTGGAGGAGATCTGTGCTTTCCAAGAAGTGATCTGAAAAGCATTGAACACCAGGAGATTACAGATATAGAATTTCTAAAGAAAGCAATGAATGAAGCATTGGATCCAGTGACAGAAAAGCTAAGAAAGGGCTTTCCTGTCACTGGTCTGCACTCATTGAGAAAGGAGCCACACAAAATCCTAGCTGAGCAGCTGGGTGGGTGCTGGGAGCAGTGTCCCTTTTGCAGAGCTGTGTGCACCAACACCATAGCTGATCATGATGGAGACCACAGTGTTTCCTTCCATCGTCCTCAAGGTGTGAATGGATGGCACTGGTCCACAACAAACCATCTTGTTACTGATATTTGTTCCAGTCTTGTAGCAAGCGATTGCAATCTCATACTTAGTGGTGATCGCGAGTACCCATACAAGAAGTACCGAGATGCAGGACATCCATATAACACCTGGAACATCACACCTGACACATCGGTGCTGCCTTACTGGAAATGGTTTGTGTGTCATTTCAGGGAAGATTTGGAAAAGCAGTACAGTAAAAAATTTGAAGGCAGAGGTGAAATCCCTTACCTGTGGAAAACAATTACAAAGACGGCTGTTCTTTCAGAGGTGGAAGCCTTCTTAAAGTAGTCAGAACAAAGACTATAAAAGTTTAGAATCAAGGAAACCGGATTGCAGTTAGAAACCATAAGAAAAGAACTTAATTTTCCAATATCGCCATTAATCGTATTGTGTTTTAGAAAGCTCGTTAGATAAGCAAAGCTGTAGCCTAAATTTTTATAGTGTGCAGAGATCTATACCATAATTCCTTTCATTGTGCAGGTGTGGGGCTGCTTCTCCAGACTACAATGTCAGAGTCCTGCAGTTTCCCCAAGTACAGAAATCTAACTCACGTATGTGTTCATGTACTAAAATCTTCCCTGCTGTGAGCGTATTAACATGGACAACTAAAAGCAGCAACGCAAAGAGCAAGGAAAGGCAATAGTAAATACTAACATTATAAAAAGTAGGATATGATACAATACTGCTTCACATTTGCTCTTCTGA